AGATATTAGATGTATTCATTGTATCGAGGCAGTTTTTAGTTAGAGACATGATAGTCATAGAACGACAAAGAGAAAGCAGAGGAGGGGTGGAAAGAGGGAGGCGGGTAGAGGGGTCTAAAAATATTGTCTACTGCTCCAAATGGGCGGTCACGCGCTCATGTGTGACAACCTCATCCATTGCTCATAAAGGTAGTTCGACAGAGAAGGCCGAGGCGCGACAGAGGCAAAATGACGTACGATTTCTTTGAGAGGGAATTTATTACTGCTTCGTACTTACGTGTTATTCCCATTTGACATTTTAATAAGGCAGATGCAATTCATTGGAGGATTCCATTACACTTTCTTAAATGCTTTTTTTGGCATTAGTCATCAAGATAATTCTAATCTTTAAAAAAAGTATTCGATAGTTCGATAGACGTATTTACAGTCACGTTGCATAAAGGCTGTGCGAAACGAATATCATTAGAACGTTAATTGGCCAAAATGAAACCAGCTATAGCGATGGAAGGTTGTTAAAAAACGTTGAAAATAATCACCTAAATAGCTACGTTAATTAATTTAATTGGCGAGTGATCGATCGATCGATCGGCCTAAGATTAATAAAACTCCGGGAATCGGCTTTTTTTCGATGAAATAGAGTTAACGCGCATTCTTTCCTCCCCGTTATCTTTGTCAACCATGTGGGTTGATATCTTTGGTGGTGAAGAAGGGGATTGTTAGCTCCTTGTTACGGGTGTTCCCGCTGACAGAAATGCGTTCTATTATCCGACATACGTTCATACAATAGCCAAAGGCAAAAACTTAGGGTCGATCAATGGAGAATTTCTTACATTACAAGAAAGCTCGGAATCAAACGGATCTTGACATTGCGATACGTGAGCAAAAATTTTATATATTTTTCTTGATTGACTTGCCTCTTAATTATACCTTTTCTTTTTTTTTTAACAAACAATATTTTTAAACAAATTTTCAGAAAATTTTCCAAAATTTGAGAAGAAAAAAGAAGAACGAATACACGCGGGGATCGAAAGAAACGAGCCGTTTTACTTAACGAAAATAAGTGTTCAAATGGAAATAACGCGTAGATAATATACACGTGCGGTCACGTAGATGAGAAATTTCCATTGCATTAACATGTCACCCTAGATAATTTATGCGGGAAGCATAACGTCCTTTAATTAGTATCGTTTGCCAGACAGATTAATAAAATGTCAGTACTAATATTCTAAAATTAATCCTTTCGTTTATCTTTTATTGATATTTCGACGTTGACAAAGACGTGGTATACAAATTTTTATTCTCAAGATTCCACGAATGCTCTTTTATTTCAAATCATTGTTAACAACCAAGAATCGAAATTATCGAAATTATAATATAATAATAATGACTCTTGGCCTTTATCGATTTAACGGATATTATACGTAAAGAATGACGTATAAAATTGAAGTTCTCTCATCAGTTTTCAGTTCGTCAGAATATAGAGTAGAGTAATTTTTGCATATATTTCCAATAGTCAAAGATATATTAATATCCAACGTGTTTTCAATCTAGCTTTGGATTAATTTGAGGTATTCGATTAATATCTCTTTTCGATAATTTTAATTAATAAATTTGACGATTCGAAGAAAGTGAAAAGTTAAATTTCCAATAAGTCAAGTTTACACTTATTACACGTATTTCGACGAGATGTAACGATAATCCGTCTCGAACTCGGTCTTGGAAAAACCGGATCCTTGTCACGTATTTTTATAATCGATCGATATGCCAAGACAAATACGACGACGACGGTGCTATTATAAAAGCATACACCATTTTACCATACCATATGTATCTTCTTTGCCGCGCCTTTTGGCTCTCCCTTTCTAATTAGATGATCCACTGCCACATTGGACCATTATACACGTTGCATCCGCACGTGTATTAAAATAATATCCTAATCTTCTATGCGATATAGCATAAACGGAATTAATTAATATTAATTAGTGAAAAATTGTCGATCATTTTCGATCGATTTTTCTTTTTTTTCTTTTTTTTTTTTGATTTCATGTATTATCATGTTTGATGTACGATCATTTTTTAAAACATATTCCCTTCGAACGATATTATTAAAATTCGCTCAACAATATTTTTACCTGATAAATATCGGTTATTATATATATATATATGGAAATGAACGTTGAGCTGAAATACCGGATTTATCGGGGAGAAAAAGAAAAAGTTTCTATATTATCGAGCGACGAGGAGAGATACGCGGAAGAAAAGAATTGTCCACTTGGAGGTTGAATGGAAATTCAACAAGTGTCGAGTGAACGAAGGCTTGAAGGAATAGAGGATTCTGCCGTAACTTTCCATCCTCGACAAAAGGTAATATTAGAATTAGCCAAACGAACGAGCACATTTTAATTCGATACATTTTATCGACTTACACTCTATTTAACATAATTTCTTTCTTTCCTTCACTTTGACTACGCACGTGTCGCGATTATTATAATTAATTATTCCAAGATTAATTTCCATTTTAATTTAAATTTCTAAAAAGTTCAATCCAAGTAATCGTCGTATCGAAAAAGATGGTCACAGAGTCAAGGATGAAGAAAATCGTTGTGTTGTTACTTGATCAATTACGTGAAAAAAAAGAAAAAAAAAGAAAAAGAAAAAAAGAAAGAAAGAAAGTTGAACAGTGATTAAGGGAAAGCCGTGATACAAGGGGGACTTTTGACGTCATTCATCGTGCGATACACGTGGATTCTGTCTGGAGTAAAGAAGACAGCGAGTCGAGTATTTATTAATCGATTCGTTACCTGAAATCCTCGAGGCGTGCTTGAAAAGCCTCTTTGCTGACCACGTCATAGGCTTGCGTCTTGCTCTCATCCCTCGGCACCGAGACCAGGGGCCACGTAGTCATGTTATGAAGAGCTTGATCAGTTATGGCGAACCTCTGCGTCAAGTTTGACCTTGAACAAATGCAAGAGACCATGGCGTATTAGCGTTACGTCGATAAATTGGCGGAGAAGGTTGGCTTATTTATTCGTTTTACGTTCACGTAGTTGGCGCGCATTCACAAAGCCGAGACATTTTCGTTGACCAGGAGGATTCTGCTGATTTATTTTTGTAACCGGAGAAAAATTCGTTAATATTTTACAGAGTTTCCCCCCCCTGCTACTATGGAAGAATCGAAGCGGAAGGGTCAGGTCAATACGTTACGTTTCACTGATCACCGCGACTTTAATCGTTACCTTGAATTTCCGAGTATCGATGTGTAATTACAAATCGAGGATAAGCAAGTTGGGATTAAATTTTCCTCTATTTCTGTTACAATGATTTCGCGTATGAATCTTTATTTCGAACGCAATTCCGTTGACGCAATTGTTTTCTCGAAATGCCAAGGAACGGGTATTTTCAGCGATGTCTCCGATTAAAGAATACCCCTGTTGCCCATCTGTTTTCATTGACCTGCACTGTTAAAGGGTTTCTCCCCCCGTTTAAAAGAACGAGTTTTGTTAACTGAGTCACGTATATCGGCGAGATCGAGCGATTTTAAAATTACGTGGAAAACAGTGAAACGAATCTATTACACCGTATAACGTCTAATGCGTTTCGTGCGTACGAATGAACAATGTGGGTTGCAACGCAGGTTAGACTCGTGCGACTCTGACCTTTGATATAACGAACGCTTTGAAAACTTAACGTTACATTACGCGCTAATACCTTAGAGTGTTGCCATTGGTGTAAATAAAGAATGCAACCTCGGATCTTTCGAGCTGCATCCGCGTGACAACCTTGCCCAAATCAGTGGCGATTGTTACCTGTGTAAGAAATCGATGATTACGAATTGTGTTTTCGTATTTATTTCGAAGGGAAAGGAATGAAACATTTTATTGAAAATTATTGTTATTAATTGGAATAGAGTATCGCAAAATAAACGGGTCGAAGCTCGAAGCCAGTTAATAACCAATTATTTCCCGAGTTCGTGAAACTTGTAAAAGGAGATAGAATTGATCGTAAGGGACGGAAGGACAAAGTGGATACGATAGGATGGGTGAATATCTCCTAGTTACACATCGTGCGGTCACTCCAACTTCTAAGTACCTAAATGGCCTTCTGTTATACTTGTGACGGTTCCATTACGTTTCATTCTCATACAGCATTCTAACAATTATGTGTCGGCCGTCGTGATGAAACGTTGTAAAAAGTAGTAGTAAAAATATCATCTCTTTCTCTATCGAAATTTCGAGATTAATGATAGAACGGATGATCGATGAATGTCTGGCAAAATTAAATTAATCTCTTTATCATTTTTTGGTATCTTTTAATAATTCTCAAATAACAATACACGTTGAATATTGTGATGCTCGTTCGATTGAAAATGAAAATGGGAAACGTGGGAATAAAATAATGCCATAATTTTGCACGACTAATATACACGTCTAATATACACGTTATCACAGAATTAATCGTGATGGTAAACATTTTTCGATTGAATGAATACAAATCTTCGTCGCGATTTTATTTTATTATATTTTTATTTTATTTTATATTATATATTATATATTAAATATTTTTATTTTATTATTATATCACGCATTGAGAGTTTATAGAGATTTAAAAAAAAGAAAAAGAAAGAAGAAGAAATCGTACTTTTACCAAGAAATTTAATGCCAGGATAATCGATATAATTGTTCCATGGTATTGGCGGGAGCAATTTAATTTTGACCAACGATGTAGAAAACGGCGTACTTTTAAAAGGCAAATTAAGTTTCTTCTTTGGTTTTCTTATAGATTTTAATTATGGAGGGCGTGGCAGAGCAGCAAAACGCGAACGGGTATAAAACTCTCGACACGCTTAGCAGAAGGACGCGACGGCAAACACCGTGGAACGATGAAGATAGGGACGAGGAGGACAAGCAAGGAGGAGGATACGTCCATTCTTTTCCGCCTTTCCTCGTGCTCGTCAAACGAGTAACTCGAGATCGAACAGTGCACTCGAGGCTACACCCTCGTTTCGATCAATTTCGATCGGATCCATCACCTCCTCCTTCCCCTCCTTATCAACCCTTCTGAACGTAACAATAATAACCAGCTCCACAAACGCGGGCGACACTATTTCATTCTGGAAATATGGAAATTTTCTTGGACAAGTAAGCCAAGTGTTGTCCCTCGTTGTCCGCCCATTTCCCTTCAATTATGTACGAAGTGATCGACTAGGTCTCGAATTGTTCGAGACAAAATCTTAGATATTGACGAACGAAGGCGGAGATTGGAAACTCGAAATACCGGAAACGTTTGAAAGCGATTTGACACGTCGTACGTCGCGAGTCATGAATTTAGAGTTGGGTAGAAATAAAAGAATCCTGTTGAAAGCTGTGTTGTTGTGAATTTCTCTTTCCAACAGAGAGAGAGAATTCCATTCTATTTTCGAGGATCGATCGCTTTACTGGTAACAATATGATACCGTATGAAGAACCATTGTGAAGAACTTGGACGCAACGTGAAACAATATCGATGTATCTTTGTTGATGACCAATGAGTTGTGTTGTGATAGAATGAGTTATTGCTAGTTATTTACATCACAATGGAAAATATCATTTTTAATCGGTAAATCGATGCTGTCAAATTTATCAACGTTGTAATATTGTATATATATATATATAT